TTGTGAATCATTATCGCATGTATATGTTTATTTTCTTTTTTTAACTTTGTAATGTTTAATAAAAATGTCAATCTTCCAGTGAAATGACAGACTTCTCTCTGGTGACTTATGCTGGACATCTCCAATTATTTAGTCCGCTTAAACCCTGCCTCTCCACAACTGACTTCAAGTGTGCATTATATTTGAGTGCAATGGCCACAATTCATAATCCATTTAACCGATTGATACAACTATATTTTTTACACTCGGATGTACGTCATCATGATATGGAATAAAAGATTTGTCACTTTTCCGTTACACTGCGACTTTCACTTTCAATATCTTATCAATATCATATGGCAACAAAATGTTGCCATTTTAGTGTGAAAAAATTGGTTACTTTTTTGTATAACAGTGTTATTTTTACAAAATACATCATGATACAACTTCAATTTTAGCTGTAAAGTAGCTGTAGTGTCAATAGTGTCCTTCAGCTCAATTTAGTTCGGCGTTGATTCAATTAATTTTTTTCCAGTTATATCTAATTTTACAACTTCATTGCCATGACAATGTAACCCCATAAAAACCGTAACACTAAAAATGATTGAACCTGGAATATTCCTTTAATGGTAAATTGACCCTGCATATTTTTCTCTTTAAGGAAAAGGAGAGACTGTCTGCCTTGGAGAAGAGATACCAGAGCCTGACTGGTGGAAAGACTTTCTCCAAGCCTGCCAGCACAAAGGAGGTAAGAGCATTCAACAGCCATGACTTGTACAAATGGGTAATTGGCCTGTTTTTGGTTGGCAAGCAAACTACTTTTTTACTCTAAGCTGGTGAAACAGGCTGTATACAGAAGCCTTGTGATCTAAACTCGTAGAATCATTATAATTCATGAGATATCTGTGCTGTTTCTCAGTATTTAGTGCATTGGTTTGGAATAAACGTATCGTTGTGTACAACTTGATGGTGGTGTCCATGGGGAAACACTCAACTCCCGCTTAGCAGTGATGAGCAAGTTTTTTTCTAGGTTATCGCAATCGGCGATAAGCTTCATGTCGATGCCTCTTTGATCAGCCATAAAATATGTAGAGGGAATTTGAAGAAGTTTGATAAGACAAATAATGGTATAAAAATGTTCTTTGGCATGGTTTGTGCAACACTGTCTGTGCGGTGGTGTCTGACTTTGGTGTTTATATTAAAAACAGGAAGTGCTTTACATCAGTGAACCTGATCTTTTAGATGAACTCCCTACCCAGAATTCTCTGCTCCCCTCATCTTGTTGTCAAAGATCCACCCCTCGGATATATTCTAACAGGCCACAGGAGGTAAAAGCATGACCCCAGGACAGCTGTGAGGGATGTACAAACTAACAAAACCATTATGTCATTCACACTTACGCGCTTGTGCAGTTCAGTCATTTCACCCTTCATAAGGAACATGTGGCTGATGAGTGGGGATGGGAATTGTAAAGAATTGAATGATTATGGTTCCTTAATGGTCCCACTAACGATTTTGTTAGTACTAAAAGAAATGCAATTTCATTACCAAATGATAAGATGGTTTCGATAATAACAGCAACAGTACTAAAGACTAATTTAATTGATTTATTTTTGTGAAATACAACAAAACGAAAACGTCTAGTTTGTCTTTACCTTCAGTCATATGAACAACCAATCAGTAACCACACTGATTTGTAATGTGCTTGATTCATTAAAATTAATGACTTGGAGTTGTTTGTTTGGCGCTTTCAGATAAGTAGTAGTGTTGTGGCATCATTGAATAAGTATTGCAGAAAATATATTTCACCCACATGCATGTGTAAGACCCATTAGAGCAGTGTTTCTCAACCCTGGTCCTGGGCGCCCCCCAGCACTGCACATTTTGTGTGTCTCCCTTATCAAACACACCTGTTTCAACTCATTAGCTCATTAAAAGAAACTCCAGGACCTGAAATGGGTGTCGGATAAGGGAGACATACAAAATGTGCAGTGTTGGGGGGCGCTCAGGACCAGGGTTGAGAAACACTGCATTAGAGGAAGCTAATGATAGTGTATGTTTTTTTTTTTTAATATATTGAAGCCACTCTAATGGTGCTTTCACACTAGCACTTTTAGGGTGCGCACCCGGGTTCGATTGACGTCAGAGTTCGTTTCGTTTGGATGATGTGAACGCTGTCTTCCGAACTCGGGTGCGCACCCACGAACTGTACCCGAGTCCGCTTAAAAAGGGTGGTCTGCAATCGTACCAAATCACGGAAGTGAACTGCTACAAATGACGTATTATTTGATAAAAATGTGTGTTTGTGTGTGTTTCACTCACTTTCCTGAGGAGCGTGACTGACGCGCTGCAAGCAGAGAGCTGTATATCTCATTTCTGTTCACCTTCAGAGTACTTCAGAGCATTTGCAGTACATTCGTAAGGCAGACGTAAGTGCCGTTATGTACTGAAGCTTTGGAAACAAAACCAACGGTTCAAAAACATAAATATAAAATTGAAGAGAGCCTTGCTACGCATTTTGCCGTCTGCTCCTGCGCCATCGTTACTAAGCAACGGGGTAAACAGCTGCTGGCTTGATGACGCAAACGAACTACGGTTCGGACCCAAATAATATAATGTGAACACAGTCCAGCGGGGGAAGGGGAAGGGGGGAGCAATCGAACTCGGGTTCGGCCCAAGCAATCGAACCAAGTGTGAAAGCACCCAATAAGAATGTACTGATATGTAGTACTGATTTGTATATTTTAATGTTTTTGAAAGAAGTCTTTGCTCACCAAGGTGCTGCAATTATTTGATCAAAAATATAGTAAACCAATAATATTGTGAAATATTATTATAGTTCAAAATAACTGTCTTTCACCAGTCTTCAGTGTCACTTGATCTTTCAGAAATCATTCTAATGTGCTAAATTGGTGCTGAAGAAAGATTTCTTATTACCGTATTGGCCCGAATATAAGACGACCGCGTTTTTTCAGATGTATTTCGAAGAAAAAAATATCGCCTTATATTCGGGACAATACGGTATTATTGATGTTGCAAACAGTTGTTCAAAAGAACAGCATTTATTTGAGATATACATTTTTGTAGTAATGCAAATGTCTCGACTGCCACTTTGGATCAATTTAATGCATCCTCACTGAATAAAAGTTAATTTCTTTCAAGAAAAAAAATTTCTTAACTGACCCCAAACTTTTGAATGGTAGTGTAAATAGACAAATGGGTGGTCACTGTAGTTTGCATATGTTATTTGAGTCTTTTTGAGCATTCACCAGTTGTACTGGCCACAGTTGCAGTGTTAGTAACAGGTTTTCAGTGTTTTTTTTTTGTTTAGTTTTTTTTCATTTTGTGTGAGACTTCAATATGCACATATTGTGAGTGTTGTTTGCCTCAATCTAGCATGTCGTCTGTTATGTTCAGGCCTTTCATGATTGGAATGGTCATATATCATATTACTGGGATATGGTGGACGTTGACATTCTGTATCACACATGCTGCATGTGTGTACATTGGATATTTTGAAGTGCGTGGCATGTTTTGATGTGTTGGGAGTAAGCATGCTTTTTCCAGTGGGTGCATAAAGATTTCTGGTACAGTTCTTTATGTGTCGTTTGAGATATGAACTGATGTCCTTTGTGGATGTGTGTATGGATGGATGAATGTGTGTGCTCAGGAGTACCTCAAACTCTCTGATGTATATAAGATGTATGGGAACGGATGTATCCCCGCCCAGACTGCCTTCCCTAACGCTCTTTGTCTACCGCTAGCTGTAACATCAGACACACCTCGTGAGGTATGACTCCTCCACTCACTCTTTCATCCATGACAGAATCTTTTTCCTTGCCTCACCACCTCCCGTTTCTCTTTCCAATGCCATTTATTCCTAGTTTGTGGCTTTTCTTTTTATGATGCTGTCAGAATAACCCACTGGCTGTCTTCTCTTGAAACTGTTATTTTTCATATCTTCCCAACTCTGTTTCCAGCTGTCTTTGTTGTTGTTGTATCATCTGCCTTTGCTATGCCAGCTTTATGCTTTTGTATACCTAAAATGCCCTCATTACATTTTGTGTTTGTGTGTGATGGTTTGATTGTATCAAGGAGTATGTGACAGTCAGTCAGTTAAACCAGCTTTTCGGGATGCCCAAAGTTGACCCCTCCCCCACATCTTCAGTCCAGTCATTCCAAGCTATTGTCGCTGACCCTGTCCACTCCAGCCACACATCCCAGTGTGGCTCCACCCAGTCACTTCATGTTGAGGTGTGTATTTCCTGTTGTCGAGGTGTTCAACAGATCTGGCTTGTTCTTTTTGAATGTTTGAATAATGTGGGATTCCAAGCTTTTTAGTTCTGTGGTTTTATGAGATATACTTTTAATTTTCTGATCTAAATACCACTCCATACTTTCAATGCATGTATCTCTTCTTTCCTTGTTGTATCAATTTTTCCTCTCTTTTCTCATCCATCCTCCCTTTACCTGGACTGCACTTCAGACCCAGCCTGCATGGATTAGGCTTTCAATCCCCAGGTTAGATTCAGAGCACTGGTACCAGGAAATTATGGCAGCTGGGGAGCCCAGTCATGCCTCTCCTCCCCCTCTGCCAGCTAAGTGTATCTCCTCACGTAAACCTATGCAGGTAAACTCTCATCATTTGTCTGTCTTCTCTTCTGCTTGCATCCTTTATCTTTTGTCTGTCCTTAAGTTATCTGTCCTTAGTGTACCTTGTGTTTTGAATCTCGCAGGAAATAATTGCCACTTTTTTTTAAATAAAAAATGACATGATATTTGTCACATACATGGTTATATAGAGAATATATGACCAGCAGTGAAATGTAAGTACTTGAGGTTCCGGTCTTTGTTGCGGGGTTTGGTTGTTTTGGTGTGGTCTTCTTCCTTGCTGTGGGGGCAAGTTGCCATAGTTGTCATTTTGGATGGAGAGTATGAATAAATGAGGGATGAATAACACTGAGATGTTTTGTTGTCAGATCTATAAGCAGGACGGTGAGCTGGGACAGACTAATGGCACCTTTACACCCCCGCCTTCCAGCATGACTACATCAGGAAGAAACACACCCACCAAAGTAAGACCGTTTAAACAATAACCTCTGACCATCAAAAACTCTCTTTTTTTTGTTGTAAAGAGGCCACAATATACAGTCTGCATTTTTGAAAACAACTTTTGCAGGGCTGAAGTATAGAGAGCAAAAGTAGAAGTATTTTTCCCTTAGAAAAAAATCCCTGATTAAAAAGAGTTATTAGCGATGAACCAATCCAACCAGCAATGAGGTGAATCACAACATTGTAGACCTTACAGTATTTGAAAACTGGACAAAACACCAAGGTACAAGACTTGATTTGAATAGGTTCAACTACAAAAAAAACCCCCACTGTTGCTCAATTATAACTGTGCAAATGTTTTCAAATGTGTCACTTTTTATGTATCTCTTCTTTTATATCTTCAGAGTCTCCCAGATCTGTCTCCTGCTTATTTGGATTTAGACTCCAAGAGACAGTTGGATCAACAGGGCAGAGGTAGCCCATCATTTATTATTATTATTAGTTTGTAAACAGTGTGTGTTGAATAATTCAAGTTGCAGCACCATGATCTTCTCTGGATGTATTTTTCTAGGGCTCTATACATGTGATGATTCCAGAATCAGGCCTACGGATCCTAAACAGAGCCACTGGGGGGCACCACAGGGCTCTCACTCCCCTTTCCCACCTTCAGGTGCTCCCATGGTACACCACTCCATTCTGCACCACCAAGCACCCCCAGCTGGAGAGTCAACGTATGACACTCTGAGTTTGGAGAGCTCTGACAGCGTGGAGACCAGCGTATCTACCGGCAACAACTCTGCCTGTTCACCTGAAAGGTGAGGCACAGTTGTCAAGGGAACCCTTCTGCTTCCATTCCCCTGACAACGGGTCACGCTGCCCAATTTCCACATAAATGTTTTTTTTTTTTTCATCCTTTTCCCAGAATAGTTCCTGGGTTGTTTCCATGACAACACATACATCCATACAAAGAGACATGCTATTCTCGTCTTCAAAGTTTGGTCTTGTCCCGAGGCAGAACGAGCACAGAATGTCATTTTTAAGTATGCGCTCCTTGGAGCCAGGGAGGCTTCAGGTGTTTTTTATCAGATGCTGAAGTCATGAAAAGACATTCTCTTGATGTTGCCCTACTTTTCAGCATCGATAGTCTGGACAAGAATCTTTGACCACGAATTCTTACATTTCGGTTAGATGTTTCAGCAGTTTTAAACTCCTACAGCCCTCCTCACCCTCGATCAACATTTTCCTTTGAGCTGGTAAAGGAGCCCCATCAAAAAAGCATGTAGGTCCTCACTTAAAAGTGAAACAGAAAAAATCACATACTCCTAACCCAGCAGGAAGGAGCATGATGCACATGATTTTTAGCATCTTGCTACTTTATCAAGGTGTAGTTTTTAAAAAGTCATATTTTACCAAATGCAAATATGTGTATAAATGATTTCTGCAGTTTTAACCAAACTAACTGTGCTACATTAAATACACAATGCTGTTCAAAAGGGACAGTAAACACTTTTAAATAGATAGAAAAAAATCTTCTGTACTTCCAATTCATCAAAAATATCCTGAAAAAAATCTATCACAATTTTCACAAAAATATTAAGCGGCACTGTTTTCAACATTGATAATAATAAGATATCTTACTTGAACACTAAATCAGCATATTAGAAAGGAGGATCATGTGACACTGAATATTGGAGTAATGACTCCTGAAAATTCAGCTGTCATCACAGGAACAAATTACATTTGAAAATATATATAAAATATAAATAGAAAAGTTATTTTCAATTATTATACTATTACACAAATGTACTGTTTTAGTGTATGTTTAATAAAATAAATGCAATCTTGGTGAGCATAAGAGAATTTTTGAAAACATAAAAAAACGTAATAACCCCTAACTTCTAAATGGTAGTGTATATAATGCTTAACAATTATATGTTTTTAAAATTATTATAATTTAATTATAATTTTTCAGTGTATGTATTAGATAATTGAAGGCAGAAATAAGCTGCCCAATGTCGTCTTCAGTCAATGGAAGCACCACAGCAACAGTATCAGTATCTGTTTCTCCCTTAGCAGCAATGGGCTGGCAGGACTGAGGCTGGAGGAGATGGAAAAGATGTTGAAGGAGGCCCAGCAGGAGAAAGCCAGACTGGTGGAGAGTCGAGTGAGTACCATTAATCTTTAATTGTCTGTTAAATATAATCTATCCCTCTCCCTGTCTCTCATATAAAAGAGATCTTTTTCATGAATTTAAAAAGGAAGCCCCTGGTCCCTTTACTGCATTAAAGATTGTTTCTTACCTACAAAGAGTGATATCATTATTACGAGAAAGTTTCTCATTATAACGAGATACTAAGTTATAATTTTGAGAAAGTTTCTCATTATTATGACTTACAGAATTATATTTTTTTATTCAGTGGCGGAAACGGGCTTCCATACCTCTGTGTCTTAATCTGTCTGTCTGTTATTTTTTGTGTCAGGAGAGGGAAGTCCAGGCACGAAAGCAGCTGCTGGAGGCTGAGAGAAGGCGGCGAGAGGAGGTGGAGAGGAGGCTGCAAGATGAGACTGCGCACAGGCAGAGACTTGTGGAGGAAGAGGTCAAGCTGAGAGAGAAACAGTGTTCCCAGGTCAGTACCTCTGGTGAACACCTCAATGAACTGCTCTCAAATCAGCAATACAGATAGTCGCCCAGTCTTTTATTAGGTAGACATAAAATCCTCACATTTTCCAGTGAGATAAAAGGGACAGTACATTTGGCTTGCATTAATAGATATTAATATTAATAATCATAATGCTTTATTGAGCAGTAGTTCATGCACATTCATATGCATATATGAATGAATGTATATTTGGGTCAGTGATGTGGTGATAAGGTTATTCAAAAATACATCAAAAATACAATTAAAACGAAGAAATTACTTGAATACACCTCTTATAAGTGATTTTGATATTTAATTATTTATTTTTATATTATTTTTTATTATATTTATGTTTTTATATTATTTAATTTATGCTATTATTTCATATAATCTTTTAAAAAAATGAGTCTAGGTTTCTGCCACTGGAAGCACCGCAGCAACAGTAACCGTTTGTTTCTCCCTTAGCAGCAATGGGCTGGCAGGACTGAGGCTGGAGGAGATGGAGAAGATGTTGAAGGAGGCCCAGCAGGAGAAAGCCAGACTGGTGGAGAGTCGAGTGAGTACCATTAATCTTTAATTGTCTGTTAAATATAATCTATCCCTCTCCCTGTCTCTCATATAAAAGAGATCTTTTTCATGAATTTAAAAAGGAAGCCCCTGGTCCCTTTACTGCATTAAAGATTGTTTCTTACCTACAAAGAGTGATAGACATGAAAGGCATTTTTTCCCCCTATAGTCTTCTCACAGTAGATTTGAAGCCCCTCTGTATGGAAGCCCGTTTCCGCCACTGAATAAAAAATATAATTCTGTAAGTCATAATAATGAGAAACTTTCTCGAAATAATGACTTAGTATCTCGTTATAATGAGAAACTTTCTCGTAATAATGACTTAGTATACAATTAAAACGAAGAAATTACTTGAATACACCTCTTATAAGTGATTTTGATATTTAATTATTTATTTTTATATTATTTTTTATTATATTTATGTTTTTATATTATTTAATTTATGCTATTATTTCATATAATCTTTAAAAAAAATGAGTCTAGGTCTAACTGTCCAGCAATTGTAAAAAAAATTAAAAAATAAATAATAATAATTAAAAGGCTTCATGAAAAGAAATGTTGGCATAAGTAGTGTGACATTTTATTATTATTTTAAAAAATAAGCAGTGAAGCAATTTTGGATTTTGATTCAGTAGTATTTAAAGAACTTTCTGTCAAATCAAAATCAGTGTGGTATAAACAACATGCAGAAACCCGGAAAATAGATTGGACCCCTTTAGTTTATTACATTTCTAACTAGTTGAATAAACATTAACTAAAATGTTTAGCATAATATAATGTGAATATAAAATGTAACACCATGTTAGTGTTAAAAATAGAAGTGTTTGAAACACACACAGCTGAACAGACAGTCTCACTGTCTGCTTACAACTCTGAACACAGCAGTGTGCTTTGCTGGTGCTGCTCCGAGGTCAGCGAATGTTTTGAGTTGCTCTTTAAAAGTCTTTATGAGGTCACTGGCTCAGCTTGACTGGACCAGACGGGAGGCATGAATGCACAGAGAGCAGCTCCGCACAGCAGGTGGATGAGAGGAGACACGCAGACAGATGGTGAGAGGGAGACAGCAGAAAGAAGATAAGATGGGAGGAAGAGGAGGGGTGTAAGGAAGGGCAGGGCAGTAGGACACCAATGTTTTAAACACCGTTAAGTGACATAACCAAAACAATGGAATCAACCTGTGATTTTTCACTGCTGTATGAATTGACATTTTTCTAACACGTTTTCTCTTCTTAAATGTAATCACAGCATCAAAATTATCATGTAATATTTCCATCAAATATATTGTTATTATGTGTACCTGAACAAGTCAATTTTATGGAAATATCTGAGACAGTAGCTAATCTGAGCGCTGCCCTCCTCAGGCTCGGCCAATGACGCGCTATCTGCCTATTCGAAAAGAGGAGTTTGACCTGCGTTCTCATGTGGAGTCATCAGGCCACTGCGTGGACACATGTGCATATGTCATTGTTACAGAGAAAATGTGCAAGGGCCATCTTGTGAAGATGGGCGGCAAGATCAAATCCTGGAAGAAACGCTGGTTTGTGTTTGATCGACTTCAAAGGACCTTCTCTTATTACGTAGGTAAGTAAGGTAATTTTGTATTTATTCCTGATTAAATGGTCAGCAAATGTTAATGATTTCTTTTTTTGTAACCTAAACTACAACGTAACATTAATGTAGACCTACATACCGGTATCTAAATATGATTTCATATATTTTATGCTATATAGACCTACCACGTTACCCTCCACTGGATGTAGAATGAGCAGCATTAAACTACATTTTGGCATTTTACAATACTTATGTGGATATTTTGGATGAAAGTAACTCAAAAGTAACTCAAAAGTAGTGTAATGCATTACAATTCAGAGACAGTAATATTGTAATGTAACTAATTACTTTCAAAAGACAGTAACTAGTAATATATAATGTATTACATTTTGGAAGTAACTTGCCCAACACTGTTTATCATACAAGATTATTTGGTGGGGGAACATTGCAGTAAATATTTTTGTCTTCAAGATCTTGGTACTTTTGTACCGACAGGTTTTGTCTTGCCAAAGCTTCACCCATGTTGATATGTATACTCTGACTTGCACATCTTTTATTTCAGGGTTTTAAAATGTGCATTTATGATTTATAATCAGATATGTTGTGTATTGTGCTATTCAGATTATTGATATCCTCTTGAACATCCTCTAAGTTAATGAGAAGAACAGTGTGAACTTTTGATAATTCAGTGTTATAACACTAACAATGTATTTCTCTAAATATTAACTTTTTTCATTTGACAGAAACAAGTAGCATATACTCTGAAGCAAATAAAAAAAGTCTTCATGTTTTCATATAGGGGAGAGCAGAGCAAGTTGTCACACCTTTTACTCCAATGAATATTTCTCAGGTATTGAGTCAATTTTTGCATATAGACACAAACGCTAAAGTCATGACTGCAAAATGTTTGGCCATTTCCACCTTTATTTCCATTAGTTACTAAATTAATGAACATGCAAAAGGGAAAAGGTAACATACAAAAAAAGAAAAGATAGATTCAAGATCTTGGTACTTTTGTACCGACAGGTTTTGTCTTGCCAAAGCTTCACCCATGTTGATATGTATACTCTGACTTGCACATCTTTTATTTCAGGGTTTTAAAATGTGCATTTATGATTTATAATCAGATATGTTGTGTATTGTGCTATTCAGATTATTGATATCCTCTTGAACATCCTCTAAGTTAATGAGAAGAACAGTGTGAACTTTTGATAATTCAGTGTTATAACACTAACAATGTATTTCTCTAAATATTAACTTTTTTCATTTGACAGAAACAAGTAGCATATACTCTGAAGCAAATAAAAAAAGTCTAACAAAATGTATGGTTTTCATGTGCTCATATAGGGGAGAGCAGAGCAAGTTGTCACACCTTTTACTCCAATGAATATTTCTCAGGTATTGAGTCAATTTTTGCATATAGACACAAACGCTAAAGTCATGACTGCAAAATGTTTGGCCATTTCCACCTTTATTTCCATTAGTTACTAAATTAATGAACATGCAAAAGGGAAAAGGTAACATACAAAAAAAGAAAAGATAGAAAAATATTGGTTTTGGACAACAAATATTGTAATTATTAAATTGTATACGTGTATATAACTGCATTATTACATAGTTGACTCATATCTGAATGTATCTCAGTGTGGTTTTATTTTGTTCATTTGTTTACCAAGCAATATGTTTTTTTTTACATTTTAAAAAATGGTTTGGATAATTCATCAACATTTTTTAACTCAAAATGTTATAGTTCTTGAGATATAACCTTTGTGACAACTTCCCTGTGTTATAACAAGCTCTGGTCTCCCTTAACAAATCATGTAGGCTATATACGGTTCCCAGATAAAAATATAACACAATATATAATCATATTGGTATAACCACCTTGATCCATGCATTTAAATGATCCACAAAATAAGATCCTCTCACTATAGCTTGTACCTAAAATGTTGATATCACTCACATTGCACAAACCATTATGCCATAGCCAGTGCCATATTTGCCTAACAGACAAAACCGGCAAATCAAATTTATGACACCAGGAGGTCAGTTCCGCATGCATGTACTGTCAGTAATGTGGGGTTCAGTTATTAATGACTCTTCGCTGTAACCGCAGAACACACTTAAACCAGGCATCAGTTACAACTGTATCTGAATGGACAGGGAATTTCCCAAGACAGTCCCACAGTATAAACAAAGTTTAAAGATGGAACAATTTGAAATTTTTTTTTAACTTTGACAAAGAAACCATTCCAGTTTAAAACTCTGTTTGTATTTCTCTGTTTGAGGAATTATGTCTGGAGAATAAACTGAACGCTCGCTCGTCAAGCGGTTGGTTTCCCCCGTATGTCCGGTAGAGGGCGCAACTCGTCACGTTTCACCGCTTCAGCGCGTGTTTTCATGCTCCAGATGCGAGGGCTGGATCTGCGTTCCGCTCTGTGTTCTGCTGAGGCCCCGGGGCCCTGAGCTTGTTTTCTTCTCTGCCTCGCACCCATTCATTACCATAACAGTTAAATGCAACTACAAATGTCATCAGCGTTATAATGATGCCATCTGTCTCCACCAGCAGAGGCTCACCAATTAATTTATCACTTGATGCTAATTCATCTCATTTTAAAATTAAGCAACATAAAAGCAAAAGGAACCAACCTAATAAAGATAATATATGCAAAGAACGGCACGCTAATTTTTAACAACACATTTAATTCAAAAATGTAACGTGTAAACAAACAACAAAGACGCTAATTAAACCTATAAGGTCTTTGAGTTTCAAAGAGCAGTTGAAGTCTCGCATATCAAAGCAAGAGGGGAAGGTTTGTGCCATAAAATCACTAGGGACTGAGCTGACATGATCAACTGTTGAGCCGGTGGTGAAGATCAACTCGGAAACATTTGAGGGGAGCCACTCGGGAATCGAGAGCCCTCCACTTTGAAGCCGTGATCAACCGACCTAATCCAGCCATGAGAACCGCGAGCATCTTCACACAGAAACTCAGACACACTGGAGCTTTCGGTGTTTACAAATGCAAATTCACATAAACGTCAATAATATCCATTCAGAAAAAAACAAGAATACACGAAGGGTGGAGGGGAGGGGGGAAATACCAACTCGAAAAACTCCTTGAGTTTGTCCTTGAGTGGCGTGTTTTAGATTGAGATGCGAGACGCACCCCAGACACAGCGTCGTCCCTCGGGAAGCGCGAGACAAATGCACTTTCTCAAAATCAAACAACTTAACGCTGCCTCGCGCTCCCGAAGGAACCGTCAGTGAAATTACTGCGGTTAGTTCACGCCATGCAACATGGGTTATTAGTCACATTATCTTTATCTTGCAAGTTTGTTATTCTAAATAGGGTATGTTTTGAGGGGAGGGGGTCGTCAAACCTCTTGAAACCTGTTGAAAGGTTATCACTATTCCCACGACACGGCGCTTCAGTGGGAAATAGGAGTAATTTTTGCTGAGATTTCTCCTGTTGGATGTTATAAAAATAAAAAATAAAAGTTATCGCAAGTAATCAAACTTGAAACGATTTGATCGCTCGTGCAGGGGAAAGAAAAAAAAGACAACAATGAATTCAGAAGGAGATGGTGATGAAATTGTGATGTAACTGTTACTAATGTGTGCTATACATGAACTTGGCATGGTGCGTTTGCTCTCTCTCACCCACTCCTTACTTATTTTCCGACTAACATGCCAGAGAGGGCTTTAAAAAGCCAAAACAAAGTAAATGCCCAGCAAGCAATAGCCGTCATTTCACCGTCTCGGTTAAGTATAGACCCGATATACAGGTGCATCTCAATAAATTATAATGTCGTGGAAAAGTTCATTTATTTCAGTAATTCAACTCAAATTGTGAAACTCGTGTATTAAATAAATTCAATGCACACAGACTGAAGTAGTTTAAGTCTTTGGTTCTTTTAATTGTGATGATTTTGACTCACATTTAACAAAAACCCACCAATTCACTATCTCAACAAATTAGAACATGGTGACATGCCAATCAGCTAATCAACTCAAAACACCTACAAAGGTTTCCTGAGCCTTCAAAATGGTCTCAGTTTGGTTCACTAGGCTACACAATCATGGGGAAGACTGCTGATCTGACAGTTGTCCAGAAGACAATCATCGACACCCTTCACAAGGAGGGTAAGCCACAAACATTAATTGCCAAAGAAGCTGGCTGTTCACAAAGTGCTGTATCCAAGCATGTTAACAGAAAGTTGAGTGGAAGGAAAAAGTGTGGAAGAAAAAGATGCACAACCAACCGAGAGAACCGCAGCCTTATGAGGATTGTCAAGCAAAATCGATTCAAGAATTTGAGTGAACTTCAAAAGGAATGGACTGAGGCTGGGGTCAAGGCATCAAGAGCCACCAAACACAGACGTGTCAAGGAATTTGGCCACAGTTGTCGTATTCCTCTTGTTAAGCCACTCCTGAACCACAGACAAAGTCAGAGGCGTCTTACCTGGGCTAAGAAGAAGAAGAACTGGACTGTTGCCCAGTGGTCCAAAGTCCTCTTTTCAGATGAGAGCAAGTTTTGTATTTCATTTGGAAACCAAGGTCCTAGAGTCTGGAGGAAGGGTGGAGAAGCTCATAGCCCAAGTTGCTTGAAGTCCAGTGTTAAGTTTCCACAGTCTGTGATGATTTGGGGTGCAATGTCATCTGCTGGTGTTGGTCCATTGTGTTTTTTGAAAACCAACATCACTGCACCCGTTTACCAAGAAATTTTGGAGCACTTCATGCTTCCTTCTGCTGACCAGCTTTCTGAAGATGCTGATTTCATTTTCCAGCAGGATTTGGCACCTGCCCACACTGCCAAAAGCACCAAAAGTTGGTTAAATGACCATGGTGTTGGTGTGCTTGACTGGCCAGCAAACTCACCAGACCTGAACCCCATAGAGAATCTATGGGCTATTGTCAAGAGGAAAATGAGAAACAAGAGACCAAAAAAATGCAGATGAGCTGAAGGCCACTGTCAAAGAAACCTGGGCTTCCATACCACCCCAGCAGTGCCACAAAATTTGGACAACTTTAAAGGCGATTTTCTCAATATTTCGATTTTTTTTGCACCCTCAGATTCCAGATTTTCAAATAGTTGCATCTCGGCCAAATATCCTATCATGTCCTATCATAACAAACCATACATCAATGGAAAGCTTATTTATTCAGCTTTCAGGTGATGTATAAATCTCAATTTTAAAAAATTGACCCTAATGACTGGTTTTGTGGTCCAGGGTCACATATTATATATAGATGGAAAGAGTGGAAGCGAGAATGTTTGTCTCTGTATTGTTGTAATACAGAGACAGGAGACAGTTACAGAGCTTACAGTATTTTATGTCATTTCAAATCAATCATATGCTCAGTACTTTTTTTTTTTAAATATATATCTCTATAGTTTTATGGTTCCAAGTCTTCAGATGTATCAATACATTACCAACAATTATCTTTACTTTTAGTTATTTAGGTGCAGATACATGGTTACAATGAGATTAAACTTAATAGCATGTGATAGCAGTCATAATCTCCTTTTAGGTGGAAAGGCAGCATTCACATTTTGAATTGCTAT